TAGTGACTTGTCACTTGTAACTGACAACTCCATAAGCTAAGCCATTCAAAATTGTTACACAGTACGATAGTCTGAAGACTAGAGTAACGTTCCAGGACAGTTGGACTGAGAGTTTTCATGCAGAGATGAAGTCCTCAGCGTCGCTGATGTCAATGGACGCAAAAATATCGTTCCGAAATATTTCAAGGAAGGTTGAAAGTTGGTCGCGCCTAATCTCAAAAACAGTGATGAGGCTTGAGTGAATGGCCATCAGCACGAGAAATGTGCAGGCTGCAACGCCTGACTGATCTCAGCGAGTCGAAATTACCATCGCAGCGACATCAGCGAAGAAATTGCCTCTAGTTCAAAAATTCCAGGTTCCAATAACAGAAAATAGACCATTGCCGTCACCCTATACTGATGACTGTCGCCTATGTTCAATTCCTTGCCTCTGGTACGAGTGCTGGAGAGTAAATACCCCGTTTTATATCAAAAGTCAAACTGCGACAATTTCGATGACACGGAGGAAGTAATAAGATAAAAGAATAAATTTCAACGCACCTCAATAAACGGCGCCCCACATACAGTGCCTCAGAAAAGTGGATTTTCCGACCAGTGTTTTTGTTGACGTCGCAACCAGATTATGTAGCTGCTTTGCAGAGACGTCTTACTGCACAAATTACAAATAAATTTTATTCTTCGATTAGAAAACCCAAGCGCTTTCAGAGCCCTCCGAAGAGAGTCCGGGCTGAAACCACGCACACCTACCTCAACCGAAAAAGAAACGACCTGCCACCCATTTGCTCGGCATTGAACGGCCAGATCCGCATACCGCCTGTCCTTCCGTGAGTTACTGACACTGAATCTGTCCTCAGCACAAACTGTCAACTCCATCAAGAATACAATCCTATGACTCTTAGATCACAGAACTACCGGTATATCTGGTCTTAGGGTGGTAAGTGCAACACAGCTAGGGAAAGAAATCTTTGCACTAACTGAGTCAACAAGAAGTTTCCAGTCTGAGGCCGCAGACAGGAGAACGCGAACTGGCTGCTCTCCCGCCTTGCAAAACGAGATGAAGTCAAGCTCATTTGAATTTTCCGTTTGTACGGTGATTACAGCAGCGCGGATTCGAATCTCCTCACGCATGTTCCTGACGATGACCCCGAGTGCGTTGTAGTGCCTCCAGGTGTAATGTCCCTGGTCCAGCGCTACGCGACAAGCGCCAAGCACGTGGCGCGTAGTACAGGCCCAGGCACGGCACAAACTACAGTACGGATCCACTACGGTGTTTTCCCAACAACGTAGGTTCGTCGGAGAAGGTAGCATGCGAGGGTTGATGCGAGAAGAAATTTCAAATCCTTACCAGTACCACCGTACAAAAGGGATTTCAACGAGAGGTCCTGCCACATCACCGATGTCCACTCCAACCACTTGCCTTGCACCTGAAGAGTCTTCAGCCTCAAAATCTGCTTCTGCACGTTGATCTCCTCAATTGTTTGAAGGAGATCCTTCCTCGGGGGTTTGGAATGCTGCTTCGGAGCATGAGCACCCAACCCTGCACGATGACTTGAAGATGATGGTGGACGGAGAGTCCCTGAACCTACTGATGCCTCTGCACACTACAGCTCTATTGTCGCCGCATATCGCTTTGTCAGCTTCGCATCCTTACTTCGACGCAGAGTGTACAGCGCCCTCATGCGCGCGACCCCACTCGATCGAAGAATGTGCCATTTGATGGACTGGCACCTTTTCCACACCGTAGGAAGGTAGTGGAGGCGTAAGCCAAAGCGGGGAGAGAGAGAGACACAGAGAGAGAGAGAAAGAGAGCGAGAGCGAGAAAGAGAGCGGGACAGACAGCGGGACAGACAGCGGGACAGAGAGCGGGAGAGAAAGTGAGAGCGAGATTGAAATAGAGAGCGAGAGGGAGAGCGAGAGAGCGAGAGAGAGAGCGAGAGGGAGAGCAAAAGCGAGAGAGAGAGAGAGAGAGAGAGAGAGAGAATGAGAGAGAAAGGAGAGAGAGAAAGGAGAGAGAGAAAGGAGAGAGAAAGAGAAAGAGAGGGAGAAAGAGAGAGAGAGAGAGCCGGCGGGGAGAGAGAGCCGGCAGGGAGAGAGAAAGAGAAAGAGAGAGGGAGAGAGAGAGAGAGAAAGAGAGAGAGAGAGTGAGAGAAAGAGAGAGACCGTGGAAGATCGTTTGGTATGTAAGAGTAGCTGATCGAGTTATAGCCTCCTCTAGATCTAGTGCATGTGGCAGAGCCCGGAATATTCGCTTTTCGCCTTCTGTTCTGACCCTGACTTGAGGAGCATTCAATCGGACACTTGTCGCGAACCGGATGGAGCGTCTCCCAAAGGGACCGCAGAGAAAAAGGACACTGAGCAGATTGGACTCCTGCCCTCGAGTTGCCAGAATGTTGCTTTGGACGCCAACTGGAGTGGTGCGTGTAAGCAGGGGGCTAGCTTTGTAGTGGAGGCACCGATGGACTAGTACCAGAAGCTTTTTTAGCAGTTGCAGTAGGCTGGAGACACCAAACAGGGATTGAAGAAAGCTGTGGGCACGAGATTACGCTGTTGGAGGGCTGCCCGCAGACCATTCTTGGAGAGTTTGCAGAATTGATCAAGAAGGGTCTTGGATATGCTGGATAGGAAGCAGTTGGAACCATATTATGCTAAATGTGACTGGATCATTGAAATGTACCAAATTCGCCTGGCCTTCAAGCTCAAATAACATCCATGCTGCCAAAGCTGACCAATCGCACTGGCTGTTCTCTTGGAAAGGTGACCGATATGGGGAGCCCAGAAGAGATCCTCATTAAGGCTGCGTTCACACGACAACGCTGGGGGTGAGAACGCAGCAAAATCCTTTCGGATGCATGGTTCATTTACACGGTAAGCGGAGCAAAACGTAAAAGTTGTACACCAAAACTAAAGAAAACCAAAACCCTGGCCAAGGTGGAAGAATTTGAAAACGGAAATGTTCTGCCGGATAAATTTGCGTGTAATTTATACGAAAGAGAAAGGCGGAGGGTGTGTTAACAGTCGAAACGATCTGCTGGCCTCGTTTTCCGTCACTTTTGTTCCGTTTTCAGCCGTTCACACGGATCCGGCAATCAAAAAAACTGTTTTTACAATTTTCGTCATGTGACGAGTATTGTCGTGTGGCCTGTTTTCAACTATTCCTAGAGTGTGATTGGTGCTTCCACAACAACACTTGGCACATGACGAACTTTGGCGGATCCTTTGCTCCCGTATAGACGCGTGAAAACGATACAAACCGACACCACCTCGGATCAGCTTTTATCGTGTAAAAGCACCAAAACGAAAAAAGAAATGCGGGACTGAAAACGGAAAACTGGCTGTGCGTTGTCGTGTAAACGCAGCCTAATAGTCACTCCAAGGTACTTGGCAGAGGTGGTGGTGGTCAAAGCTAGTCCATGGCAGTGAACATGACTGGTTACATGTGTTGCATCTCTGGGCTTGATAAAGAGCACCTGGGTGTTCTGCGCATTCAGTAGCAATCCAATACTGTCTAGCTAATCTGCTACCCTACTGATGGCCGCTGACAGTCCCTCGCACTCCACCCTGGAATCAGAGTGAGAGCAGTCTAGGATGGTGTCATGTAAGCACATGTATGTGTCTACTGTGTCCTGCCGCTACTCCGGCTTTGGCCGTGACCACGATTTGTCTCGCCATTTTCTCCTTTTTTAATATCCTTTCTTTTCTCTTTTTGCTGAGAGCTTTCTTCTCGCCGTGACCACGATTTATCTTTCCTTTTTTCTTCTTCTTTTTCTCCTTTATTTCTTTATTTCTTTCCTTCTTTTCTCTTCCTCCTTTGCTGAGAGCTTTTTGTTCCCATATTTTCTTTTCATCTGTGTCTGCTGTCGAGTTTCCCATTCCTGGGTTACTTGGGACCTAATTCGCTTCATTGTCATTGGACATGTTCAGTCCGTTCGGTTTGCGAATTCAAATAAGCACAACCATGTCATCAGCGAATTCCTAGTGTGAGACAAGGCCCGGTACTTCAGACTTCAAACTTGCTGTGTAGACGGCAATGAGCTGTGTTTCTAACACGCTGCCCTGAGCAACTCCTCGGGTGCAGGGCACTGCTTCGGACAGGTTACCGCCGACTCACACGCGTTGAGTCTGGTCATCTAAGTCACGGCAAAACCATATTAATGCAGTGCCAGCAATGCCGAGATGGGAAAGCAACCACGGATGGTCGATTTCAAAATTTCATAATTCACTCAGCAGCTTGTGATCTCCTCCATCCAAAGATAAAGACTAGACACTAAGCAGAAGCAACAGAAGCGCCTCCAAGTCCTTTGAGTGCAGCTCTATTGCACCTGAGCAGCATTAATTTCCTTCTGTTCATGACTTTTACACAACACAAAACAACGATTCCAAGTTCTTCGTGCTGCTGAAGCTCAAGAGGTCATCTTGGTACCCACTGCGCATGGCTTGCACTGGTATGAGTCATGGGGAAACCCCATGCGCAAACAATCTCTTCTCGAAAATTTCAAAAAATATTTCAGAAGAATGCAACCGCAATCCGATCTTCGTCGCTCGAGTATTTCGCATCGCCCTGCCACAAGTGACACACTGCTGGAAAGGTAATTTCCTTAGCTTTCTAACAAGCTATCATTTGTGAACATGAAAGAAAGAACAACGGAGATACAAAGATGTGTACACTGATCTATGCTCAAGACGTACACAGTGCGCGTTTGGACAAGTATACTCGTGCCTGGGAAATCACCAGGGACGAGTATACTGGTCCTTGGGCTTGAAAGGGTTAAAGCTTTTCAGTTTTCATGGGCACTGGAGTATGGAAACATGGTACACGTACAAACGACCAGTACAATGAAGTAGGTAACCACCCCTGCCCGTACACTTAAGTAGTCATTAACCGCTAGGCTCTGCCCACCCAATTCTTCCTCACTCGTTCTCCTTTCTTACACTATTATCTCTTATTGGCCACTGGCTATCGTGAGAATAAAGATTTGAAACAACATCAATGACCTGCTTACATATTACATGTAGTCGAAAGGTTTGTTGTGCTGTCATGGCACCTGGTACATCTGATATACATTCGTACAGTCCAGTGTATCTTTCGTCGAGAGTGGGGTGGTGGACAGTGTCCCATTCAACAATAGTACTAGTGGCACTGCCACTCTGATCAAACGGTTGGTTATGTTCACCAACAACCATATTATTGTCAGTGTTAATCAGTTTAATATTTGAACCAGTAGCACCCTGGGCCTCGCATGATGGTAAGTAGCTTACTCCAATATCTGCCGTACGTTGTACCCGTAGGTAGTAAGCTATGAACGGAGCGGTGCCTTGCCCAACAGCCTTCAGTGTAAGAACTTGACCTGTAGAAGACAAGCAGACAGAATAGAGGTGATTGTGCTGACCCGTCCATGCTGAAAGAAAACGGCAATTTGAGGAGAGGTGACAGTCCTGATCTGGAAAATCTACATCCAGATTTGTTTCCTGACCCAGCAGTACATATCATTGAGCAGCACAGAAGTAGGATTAATATTGGGTACGTGTATCACAATCAGGTTCATACAGGGTGCTGGAGGTATTGAACATTGGTGCGGACACGCAGAAGGGGGGGGGGGGGGGGTCCTCCTCTGGAAGAAGAATATGATTGACCAGAATTAGCACTTTGGGGAAGAATATAAAATTTATTGTTGGACTCGGATGGGGAGCGAAGGAAAAATTTACAGAAAATGAAAAGGACCCAGGAACTACAAGTTATGCTATAATGTCCACAAACACCACCAATCAGCGCATGTGATATCATTGCACGACACTGACCGACGGTACTGATGTTCTACAACTAACTGGCTAACAGCTCTAGCACTTCTTGGATTCGCACCCCAACAGCCTTCCAACTTGGAAGGTTCTAACTTATCTTCGCATCTTTTGAGCCACACAAAGTGTGTGGGATGTTCCTTTCCGTCCTTGAATCGTGGTTAGACGGTATTGTCCAATGGTCTTGCCAGTATCGTCATCGACATGCATGAACACAAGTCCTTCACAGCTGAGATTTTCAGCTCGTGCTTATTTTGGTTGCGCTCACCTTCCCCTCCTTATGTTATTTCTATAACTTAGAACCTTTACAAGTTGGAAGGCTGTTGGAGTGCGCATCCAAGATGTGCTAGAGATGTTAGCCAGTTAGAATGTCCATACTGTCGGTCAGTGTCGTGCAGTGTTATCGCATGAGCTGATTGTTTGGGAACTGGTGGTGTTAGGGGACATTAGGCCATGGTAAAAAATTAAGTTGATTCTCAGGTCATGAGCCTGTGAAAATCGGTGCGAGTGAGCGATTTATTTTATTTTATTCCCCACAATTATTTTAATTCCAAAGATAGGGTCACACATATGTACATGGTGACATGTTCGTTATTCAGACCAGGGAGTAGAAAAATATCGGTATTTTACTACTCCCTGATTCATGCCTTTCACATTGACCGTTTTCATGCGCGCATATGCATGCATAGAAAATAAAAAATTGTCGGTGCGCCGCCAAAAATCGGTGCGCGTGTACTAATCAAAGATAATTTTTACCATGACCTTATAGCGTAACTTGTAGTTCCTTGGTCCTTTCTATTTTCTATAAATTTATGGCTGGTCTGGCTATAATAGAGAGCATTGACTGTGGCACAACCTGTAGTCCTGTACAGACATATAGTCTTATGCAGGTGTGGGATACCCCTATACTTTTTAGGCGTGCAAAAATGCGTAGGAGGGATTTTCAGAATGTCCATTTCTGAAATCATTGGTGCCAATTTGGCCGCACCGATTCCGATGCCCCTGACATTACATCAACGATGACTGGCATTACCTAGAGAATAGCCCACCGCCACCCCTCCCGAGGGTTTGGAACTCCCATGTACTCTGATGCACTGGTGTGTACTCTTTTGAGTGATTGGAATCTTCCTGCACGGTTCATCCTTGAGTGTTATAACGCCTATCCGCCTGACTGTACAGTGCATGCTTAGATGACTTAACCCATTGAACGCTGATGACGTCTATAGACGTCATTGAAAATGCCCCCATTCGCGGGATGAACTATATAGATGTCATGGGATTTCTGGCACTGTCTGGTGTGTAAAAGCACTGTTAGTCGGTGCATCTGCCGCTAGGGTTTACCGGGTTTTAGCGGCCATCGTGAGTTCCCTTCGAGAATGGACATAATGATTTACTTTATTTGCTGGATTCCGTGCCTAATTTCCTAAAATTGGCAGACCCGATCTGAGCGGCTGATTTGCTCAATTGTTTTCCACTTCTGTAGAGTTTAACTGCTAGTGAAATTCTAGCCGTTGAGTGAAGAACATGCTTGTAATGTGCAGTGACAAGGATTGTCGGGTTCAATTTTCTTGTTATAGTGAGTAGATGTGCCCATTTTGCAGTGTTTGGCGTACTAGCGCCTGAAAAATTCAACAATGCCATGAGGTGCAGAGACTTACCATTGCAATATGGAACACAGGCGATAAGGGCAGCAACGAGAATCAAAAATCCTGTGAACAGACCGCATGTTCACGACCGGGAAATAAGGAACAAACAACTCGCACATACACACGCACATACTCACACATACACACACACACACACGCACATACTCGCGCACACACACGCGTGCACGTGCACACACACACACACATGTGTGCACGTGCACACACACACACACACACACACACACACAAACGCACAAATGCCCGTTAAAGGGGAACTGTCACAACAAAATTCTTTGTCTTACCTTGTAGTTCTTTGGCTCCTGATCACGATGATGTTATTCGTTTTTCTCTGCAATGACTGGAAGTGGGTGAAAACTTGAGAAGAAGGTTCCCAAAATTGTCCCAAAGTACCGAGTGACGTCACGCCGGACTTGACCTCCACGCGTACATTCATCGTCAAAAACGAAGTCCAGCCCGTATGCTGGTCGATCGAGCCAACTGTTCGATGTACGGTGCACGCTTGCCTTCTGGACTCGGACACTCGATGTGTACGTTGTACACAATGAGAATGCCAAAAAGGGACAAAATAAACAAAAAGTCGACAGCAGTTTGTCGCACTGGTAGTCTACTTCCTCCACGAAGCTCCAGCTCTTTGTTTTATTTGTGATTACAAAGGAGTGGAAGGATGTTTGTTTGCTGTTAGTGTGACACACATACCTGGTGCTTGAAAATGATGTTGTTGTATTGAAGCTAAAGGTAGCGGTGTTACCCACCCGGCTCTGAAATGAAAGACGTCGGAGTTTGTCATCTGCATCTTCAGCAACATTGCCAGATGAATCGCCTTCACGTACCTACATTGCGTTCCTTTGGGGCTCGGGTTGGTGATGTTATCGCCGGCCGGAGGAGTACTGTTTTCTGCATACACACTCATCATTGTGTTGTTCCTCACACGAAAAGTTCAAAACAACGACGTACTTCCATGCTCACAGAATAAAACTTAGATCCTCACAGAAGAAGTCAGAAAGGTGAAAGCTCAGCTGCATTTTATTTTTTGATTTGGCTGTGTAGCTGCACGTGGGTCTCTGACTCTTTGGCATTCTCCTTTGGTACGACGTACCCATCCGTGTTACAGTTCAAAAAGCACACATGCACCGTACATTGGAACAGCTAGCTCGATCGACCAGCACACGGGCTGGACTTCGTTTTTGACGACAAATGTACGCGTGGAGGTCAAGTCCGGCGTGATGTCACTCGGTACCTTGGGACAATTTTGGGCACCTTCTTTTCAAGTTTTCACCCACTTCAAGCCATCGCAGAGAAAACGGATAACACCATCGTGATCAGGAGCCAAAGAACTACAAGATAAGGGGTCGTCGCAAAAATTTGTTGTCGTCCTGAACGAACATGATTCATTTGGGGGGAGGGGGGGGGGGGTGCGAGTCGAAATCGCAAGTCGACTGACACTGTACATATGACATGCACATGCATGAGATTTTCGTCATCCAGCATAGCAAGCTGTGTTCGTTTCAGGGAAAGGGGGGGGGGGGGAGGGGTCCGAGTACGAAATGAACGATGTTCGTTTCAGGGACGACAGAAAACTTTTGCGACGACCCCTAAGACAAAGAAATTTTTGGTGACAGTTCCCCTTTAAAGGGGAAGTTAAGGCAAAAATCAAAATTTCACCAGTTTTAGTCTTCGGGGTGCGGAGTCGAATGGTCTTGGTCCGAGAAAGCTGAGACCCTCCCTTCCTACTTGAATCCCAATCGAACTCGCGCACTTGCACCGAAACTGGGTACCTGCGCCCTACTAGATGGGGATACGTACGCAAAATGTCACTAAAAGCGCCATTTCGTTCTTATAAAAGCACGGATGACCGCGATTGGCCCATATGTTGTAGTCTTTTGGACGCTGAGTCGACTGGTTTTGGTCCTAAACGGCTGCGATGCAGCGTTCCTCCTTTATTCCCAATCGAACATGGTTGAGCAAGCGGTCATGTGATCCTGCGTACACCAGTCATCTGGTCACCGTGCCTGCAGGGTACAACTTACTAGCCTGTTTGACCTTTTTTGGGTGCAGTCCTGTCACTCGAGTTGAACTCGAGTTGAACCTTGGTGTGAAAGTTGTTGCCTGTTGGCGTGGTGACCTGGTGATTTGGGCACCCAGGAGCACTTGACCACTTGTTCAACCATGTTCGATTGGGAATAAAGGAGGAACGCTGCATCGCAGCCTTTTCGGACCAAAACCAGTCGACTCAGCGTCCAAAAGACTACAATATGTGGGCCAATCGCGGTCATCCATGCATTTATTAGAAGGAACTGGCGCTTTTAGTGACATTTTGCCTACAAATCTCCATCTAGTAGGGCGCAGTCACCCAGTTTCGGTGCAAGTACGTGAGTTCGATTGGGATTCAAGTAGGAAGGGAGCGTCTCAGCTTTCTCGGACCAAGACTATTCGACTCAGCACCCCGAAGACTACAACTGGTGAGATTTTAATTTTTGCCTTAACTTCCCCGTTAACAATACGCACCTCACTATTGCAGCCAGATCTAGTGGGTGTACCCAAGACATGCAGAATTCCTGCACTAACTTTGACATACATCAATGTTTTCAAACAAATATATTTTCAGTATTGACCTACAGAATGACTTCATCAATTCTTTTGATGAAATATAATGTGTGAGCAGAATGACGTCATCAGTGCTCCAAACCGCATGGGCAGTGTGGCTCTCGCTGACTTAATCAATACCAGGTGCTATCTTATGACATACATATACAATGCTAATATCATCTTTCGCCTGAATCAAGCTCTGCTTCCCCTTACGGGAACGCTGGTGCCACAGATCACAGCAACACTCTTCCAGATCTCGTAAAAAAACTTGTTCTGGTCTATGTTCAAGTAAAGAAACCAAGTGGAATGTGAACTGGGAATTTCCCCTTCCAAATTTGACACTTGTCTGCCCCATCGAAATGATATGAAGCAGACCAGTACGCCTTTGAGTAGGCTGTGTGTTGCATGCATGTGTTACAGTTTCTGTTCCGGGTATGGATACCAGACCAGAGGAATGTTGACCAGTGCCAGAGAGGTAAGGCCCACAAACATAAATGAACCCATGGAGCTGGATCAAAGTAGATCAAAAAGTCAGCTTTGTCATGACCCAGGCATGGCTAGTAACTTGGTAAGGATACGTTCAACTTTGTATTCAACCTACACAGCTCTACACATTGATAGAAGCCAAAATGGACCTACCCGAACGATTGTTCATTGTCGCCATCTTTGAGTCCTTGAATACAGCCAAACCACAACAGTGGTGAAGAAACCTTGTGGCACTACAGAGAACAGCAAACACAAATGCAGGGGGAATTCATGAATGGAGGCAAATATATGCAGATCTGCACACAGACATGCACACAGACATGCACACACACACACACACACACACACACACACACACACACACACACACACACACACACACACACACACACACACACACACACACACACACACACACACACTGACATTCACACAAATACACACACTCACATACACCCATCAAAAAATACACTGGCACTTACAGTGTTGGTTTCCTTACTTGCTAGACTGATTTTATATGATTCTGGACTGATTTGAATCATATTATCTTCCTTATTGGCCATGGGCCATCGTGGAAATAAAGAATAATAATAAACCCACCCACCCAAACAACACATACACACAAACACACACACAACACATCCCCACACACAAACACACACATGCACACACCCAAGCACACACCTGCACACACACAACACATACACACAAACACACACATGCACATACACAAACACACACACACATAAACCTGCACACATGCCCAAATCTGAAGCGACGACAGCGAAAAAACTATGTTGGACATAGGAACGTGTTCTGCGATTCCACCATAAACCAGCTTACAAAGCTGATGAATTGACCGCCACTAATTTTTGCCTGTTCTACTTCACGCAGTTGATTGAACTACTTCACACGTCACACATCACACACACGCATGTGCACGCGCGCGCGCGCGCGAAAGCACCCTCACAAACACACATACACGCACACTTATACACGTGCATACACACATGCGAACACAACACACGTACACACAGATACACGTTCATGAACACACGCGAACACACACACACACACACACATTAACTACAACACACAACAGCTTGCGGTTTGGAGGGTGCTGGCCAGTGAGAGGCTACGGAGAGAGCAGGATCTTGGCGGAGCCAAGACGATAGTGACGTCTGAGGGACAAAGACAGAGAGCCCTGAGTAGCCGGAAATGGCCAACACCCGTTTGTTTTCTTTATCAGAAGCAAATAAGAGATGAGAGAAGGGAGGTGGGTGGGTGAAACACAACGATCTGACAAGAGTGATCCACACACAGAACGGATCGAAATATATAACTAGGCCAAATTTAGCATGCCACGATGCATGCCGCCTACGTTCAGCGTCGTGCATGAAGGAATGCCACGTTGAGTGTTATGTTGAATGACACGTAGAATGCCACAACGCATAGAGTACCATGGGAGCATGCACCAAGACGTTTGTCCGACATGGTTACCGTGATGCACAGTGCACGTGACCGTAGCCAGCAGCAAAGCATCAGCATGCAGTAAAAGCGCTAGCAATCGTAGCAGCATAGTGGCAGCAGGAAGCAGCCGCGTGCACCCATCAATCTGCATTATGACTATAATGCTGCACACACACACACACACACACACACACACACACACACACACACACACACACGCACACGCATACACACACGCAAACCCACACCCACACACACATTAGACGTCAAGAAACACATCACACCACATTTCAAAGCTTTGCCTGCGCCAACAACGTTTCCTCCGCTTCACAAACTAACATTACAGATGTCTCAAACTAAGCACACAACCTATTTCTGAAAACAGAACAAAAAACCCGCGTGCCTGATTAAAACAACAGCAACGCTCCTGATAACCACGTGACAACATTGAAAGTGTTACACTGTACTGGGTCTCTTTTACTGCTAAGGGTGACTTGAGGAGTGACAACATTGAAAGTGTTACACTGTACTGGGTCTCTTGTACTGCTAAGGGTGACTCGAGGAGTGACAACATTGAAAGTGTTATACTGTACTGGGTCTCTTGTACTGCTAAGGGTGACTTGAGGAGTGACAACATTGAAAGTGTTATACTGTACTGGGTCTCTTGTACTGCTAAGGGTGACTTGAGGAGTGACAACATTGAAAGTGTTATACTGTACTGGGTCTCTTGTACTGCTAAGGGTGACTTGAGGAGTGACAACATTGAAAGTGTTATACTGTACTGGGTCTCTTGTACTGCTAAGGGTGACTTGAGGAGTGACAACATTGAAAGTGTTATACTGTACTGGGTCTCTTGTACTGCTAAGGGTGACTTGAGGAGTGACAACATTGAAAGTGTTATACTGTACTGGGTCTCTTGTACTGCTAAGGGTGACTTGAGGAGTGACAACATTGAAAGTGTTATACTGTACTGGGTCTCTTGTACTGCTAAGGGTGACTTGAGGAGTGACAACATTGAAAGTGTTATACTGTACTGGGTCTCTTGTACTGCTGAGGGTGACTTGAGGAGTGACAACATTGAAAGTGTTATACTGCACTGGGTCTCTTGTACTGCTAAGGGTGACTTGAGGAGTGACAGCATTGAAAGTGTTATACTGTACTGGGTCCCTTGTACTGCTAAGGGCGATTTGAGGAGTGACAACATTGAAAGTGTTATACTGTACTGGGTCTCTTGTACTGCTAAGGGTGACTTGAGGAGTGACAACATTGAAAGTGTTATACTGTACTGGGTCTCTTGTACTGCTAAGGGTGACTTGAGGAGTGACAACATTGAAAGTGTTATACTGTACTGGGTCTCTTGTACTGCTAAGGGTGACTTGAGGAGTGACAACATTGAAAGTGTTATACTGTACTGGGTCTCTTGTACTGCTAAGGGTGATGTGAGGTGTGACAACATTGAAAGTGTTATACTGTACTGGGTCCCTTGTACTGCTAAGGGTGACTTGAGGAGTGACAACATTGAAATTGTTATTCTGTACTGGGTCTCTTGTACTGCTAAGGGTGACTTGAGGAGTGACAACATTGAAAGTGTTATACTGTACTGGGTCTCTTGTACTGCTAAGGGCGACTTGAGGCGACCAGAATGATTATGTGTCTACAAATATTTTCGTATCTCCGCCTCTAAAACACAGGATAGTTACAAATGACCAGTCTACGCGTTCAGGAGAACCTTGGCTATCGACTCATCACATCGTTTTGTGTGAAAGAATATAGATGTCGCCAGGGCGAAGCCTGAAGTGCGCCACTCGAACAAACAATTGTCGCGAGTAGAAAACATGAAGTATGAGCATCGCTGTTATCTTTTTTTTTCACGGCAATCGAAACATCGAGATTTTGAGTGGCTTTCAGGTCAACTTTATCCGCGCTGAAAGTTGACTGTGCTGCGCTCGATCGAGCGCGTGGGAAAGCGCAAATGCTACGAAAATGCAGAGCACAAACTTCGATCAGACATCCTCGCGAAGAAGACAATTTTCGCTGCATCTTCGCTTTCTAGTTGTCTACCTGGCCTTGATATCTTTCCACACAGCCAAATTTTGTAAAGATCCGTGGAGATCTAGCTGAGTTATGACACACTGATTCTCGCTCAATGGCACTTCGAGGGCTAAACACAAGTACATGACAAGCAACGAAAACAGACAGTGAAACCAGACAGCAGACTGACAACACTTTGTTATGTACTCAAGCTCACACATTCTTCTCGTGCTTTTCCCCACTGCCACTGGTAAAGATTTGAAATCTACAAAAATCGTCTATAAACATTTCAAGCAAGAGTACATAAACCAGAGTGTGCACCTCCATAAAACCACTCTCACAACGAAGTGAAGCATGGAAAGCCTTTATGTTATTGGGCCTAGTTCCTGTTTAACTGAATCACCGAGGCGATGAAGAGAAATTTGTGTGCGTGTTTCGTCTTTTGTACAACAAGCAGCAATGCGCACCCGAAGAAAAAAACCTTGGTGATACGGGGAAATAGCCACGTGAACCTGCGTGAGATCATGCTGATATGCAGCAAAAGTTTGTGCTTATGAGCTAAACAACAGCACTTCGAGGCGAGACGATTTCCCCCTCAGCATCACGCCCTGGATTACAAGTGACCACAATGCGCTGATCTCGCGACAAGAAATAAGCAAGAAAGTCAACTGTACATACTACATACAACTGTACTAGATACTAAGTGATTACGAGTTTCATACAGGTACAATGTAGTGTTTGGCGCATGGAGTTTACATGTGTCAGCAATTTCCACTCCTAATATCACAATTCACAATACTCTACTACAAGGAGCAATATGGAGAGGAGGATGAGTCCCTTTAACAATTTGCTCGACGATTCTCGCTGACCCCAGCCGACCAGGAACCCGCGCGCCTACAACCTCTGCCTGACACCCAGATACATGCCGACAGTTCTTGCAGACAGCGAGAACACATCAACACACGTCATATGGAATACAAGAATGACACCGGCATCATAGCTCACACAGCCATGGGGCCAACAGAAAATATAGCGTGTTGAAACGAAGCACAAGTACGATATATATCATGAGAGGGGGACTAACCACAGAAGCAGAAACTCACCGGGAGGAAGACGGAGGCTACGTTGACCAAAGTCCGCAAAGAGATCCAAAAAAGGTCTGCGAGCAGAGTAGAGAGACTGACTTAGCTAGAGACTGAACAACTATCACTAGCACTTGATACTTCGTGGAAAACAGCACTCACCACACACACGTTGGAGAAATGAAGACCAACAGAATCAAGACCAACAGATTCAAGACCAACGGATTGGGAAACTAACTACTTGCTCTAACAACCGGTACAGATAAGAGTGACGCTGTTGTTGTCAGTGGTCTCTTTTCTTCTCCTTGCGTAGCCCAGCTTTTGCATTGCGTCTTCCGGAAATCAAGGTTTGCAGGATTCCATCCGGAGAAACATGCCAAATTCCTGCACTTTTTCAGATTAATATCGGTTTCGCCCGATGTTTGGACCGATTTCTTTGGTGTGTTTGAACCAATTTTGTGAAGTTCCTGAGTTTCGTTGTCACATGATAATGTAGTGCATATTTGCACGGCGCACCGTATATCGGTAAGCCATATTGCCCAAGCAATAAGAACTTACCGTACTGGCTTTCCGCATTCACAATGGACTCTTGAACTCGGTCGTACCACATGTGCACAGCGTAGATCTACGTCGGACCAACGCTTTCGGTACCCCAGTTTGTACATGCGTCAGCTCTTTTGCATATTTGGCATGCGCATTGCGCACTGGATCAGATCTTGGACTTGCCCAGCATGCAGGCCGGGCCTAGGGATCTAGGGAGTACTAAAAATCGTTTTTTATTACTCCCTACAAAAAAAGCTAGCTGGACATGTCAAAAATAGACGGGCAGAATAATTTACCGCAGTCAGGGGGTACCGTAGTAAAATACCGGACTCCGTTAGCTCATCTGTGCACCTTCTGTATTGCCAGCAAACAATGTAGCCTATTGATCTCTGCATCAAGGTAGCCAATCTGCAAATTGAAAAAAACCCGGTATTTTACTACTCCCTGCTCCAAACTACATGTATAGTAGCTGTTGACCTGCCCTATGAATGTATGATGCGTGCATTTCCCTGTGTGTAGATCCACAAGTAAAACTGTTACTTGCATGGACATGGAGTAAAACGAACGGAAAATACATAGTCATGGGACATCACTCAGACCAGTAGCTACTGTAGTAGGAAGTTATGCTGAGATGGCGGACCCTACGAGTACAACTCCGTCGCAGCGCGAACAACATCAACCAAAAAAAGAATGTAGAAGAGCTCGTACCGTATGTACGCACCTTTAAGGTGGCTCGCGCCTATTTCTAAACTCGTCTTTTGCGCAGGTTCTCGCGCATCCTACGTTCGAGAAAAGACATGCAGAGTTGGCGTAGCGAGCTTTGTATGTAGCGCACTCCAGTTTCGAAGGGTCCAGCTCGAGCAGATGGCCTGAGTACGAAACTCTCGTACTCGAGTCTAGAGTGTGAGCTTTTTTCTTCTTTTTTTTCACTCCTTCACTTGGCTACTTTTTTTTAGGTGCATTTTTTACTTGTGGAAATTGTCACCTGTCAGAGAAGGATGTCCCTTCCAGCAGGCACGGCCCATGCCCATGGTCGGCTTCGGAAAAAGAGTAGAATAAAAGCGTTGGAGTCTATGTGGATGTCTTGGAAGGAATGGGGGACGGCACAGACGGGTACGTGAATGTGTAAAACCTGAGTATTTTGTATTTTCGTTGAATTGGTTCAAGTGACTTGGCGAGTCCCTTCCACAGTAGAACGCCATCCTTCGCAAAATTTGTCTGACTATTTTGTCAAGAATGGCCGTTCTATAATGATAAATCGACTCTGAAGCCAGTGGATTGTGGAGGTCGCCCTTGAATATAAATTGAAATGGTCACGAATGTACGAAAGTATTTTTGATTCGAACATGTACTGGACAACGTGGTTGCATTGTGTCAGTAGAGGGTACTACTGTAGTATCTCACCATTTCTTTATGGTAATCGCTGTCCACCAAGAACTCTACTATAGTTATTGCCACGGCTTGATCACAGCGGTACACTGAGTTTTTGTTGAGAAATTCCTTCAATTTATTGTCTTATCACTCTGACTAGACTCAGTGCTTCAGCGTTTTATTTAGGATGCATTTTTTAGAGATTGATATTATTTTACCAGTATGTGTTTCACATCACTCCTGACGAGAATACGCATTTGAAAGCAACACTGGCTGACAGCAATCATGCTCCCCAGGCTCAAGTGTGTGTGTGTGTGTGTGTGTGTGTGTGTGTGTGTGTGTGTGTGTGTGTGTGTGTGTGTGTGTGTGTGTGTGTGTGTGTTACAAGGGTGTGCATGGCAATTTGGTAGAGTATGTGTGAACACAAAGTCCACTATATATTCACAAACTCAAGTACATCGCAAAATTATGCCTTCGTATCGTATATTGTGCCTTCATAACTTTGACTAGCCCTAACCTGCTGTCTGACAGGTGTGTCATTGGTGAATGTACATGTATACTGTCTCCCTTCACAACTACGTGCATGTAACACAATATTTACAGTGCACTTGCAGTGTATATAGCTAGATCAATGCACAGTAATCAGTAAATTGTGGCTGCCTCTGTCACATTGTTATATTCACGCGACGTACATTCTAAATCATCGAAAATGCCCAAACCTATTTCTACGTGTGCAGAAGAAGATTGAACACATTCTTTCCTTGCATCTGCGCCTTGATCCTTGAAGGATGATGGCGTTCCTACGGATGCGGAAAACTCGGCCTCTAGCCGAGTCTGACGCGAACCGTGAATTTTTTTCCTTGACATTGGTTGATGGCATCAGTCACATCTAAGAGCGACACTCTATCTCAAACATATTTACGCAAAGAAGTAGTAATCTTATCTTCATTGGAGCGATGGTCTGCAGGCGTGCGATCATGTGTGTGCCTTGTGTGTGTGTGTGTGTGTGTGTGTGTGTTTAGTCACTGTTTACACGCACGTTTGTGCGTGTGTGTGGTGCGTGTGTGTGTGTCTGTCTGGCCTGGTATGAGGTTGCTCAGGATAGGTCTGCCTGGCGGGTGGACTGTCTTATCTGCCATCGGTCGTTTCGCCAGCCAGGTGACAAACAAGGCACAAATGTGGCGCAGAGCAAAGTCTCCCCATCCAGGACCAGCGTGGTGCTGTGCAGTGTGGTACATGCAGAAGGTGGTTTCACTCTCGTGGTGTCCGGCGCGTGCATCATTGTTTGCCCCTGGAACCATCGAAAGTGTCCGAGCCGGCATCATCTATTCCGCTCAGCGTCCATGCTTCTCTCTTGTGTTTGACATGCAATCGGCAATTCAAGTCAGTGCCTGGTTTCAGACGTCACATGTGCAACCGTGGCCATCGGGCAACCAAGTCTGACAGAGCGTCATATTGTGTCCGCTGTTCTCGCTGCAGCCGTCAGTTCTCCGTTTCTGCTCCTGACAATGACTCCGGCTTCTTTCGGAATGGTGTGGCCCTTGGGCAACCATGCTACAGTAGCAGTAGTAGTAGTAGTGTGTGTGTGTGTGTGTGTGTGCGTGTGTGTGTGTTCTGCCTCGCCTAATAGCTACTGTGTTGCCACACCTGCCGACATGTCAGTAGCCTGCTGATTTTGGAGGCATGTCACGACCTGCCGACAATTGGCCTTCTCCTGCCGACAGCAGCCATGATAATGTCCAATGTTGCCCTTCTGCTTGGTTTAGAAGTCATGATCCCGATTTTGTTGCCTACACTGGTCATCATGAGTGTTTCTGTAGCTCTTTCCTGCCCTACTAAGCAAGATCATCATCAGTCTTGGGAAAAGATGGAAACTCAGTCTGAGTCTCACTTAGAATCGCGAAAATTCTGGCGCCTGTATGCGTGTGTATACTGTGGTTACTATGATTGGGGGGTCTGGAGGCGAAGCCCCCAGATGATGCATTTTCTTTTTCTATCCTACTGATATTTGGCTAAAATGTTGTGGCAACACTGTAGCTATCATCGCCTTCGGCGATGGGCTTTCCAAAGGTCCAAAGGTGTGTGTGTGTGTGTGTGTGTGTGTGTGTGTGTGTGTGTGTGTGTGTGTGTGTGCGTGTGTGTGTGTGCGTGTGTGTGTCTGGAGCGCCACCGGGTGGCGTGCTCTTTCTCTCTCTCTCTCTCTCTCTCTCTCTCTCTCTCTCTCTCTCTCTCTCTCTCTCTCTCTCTCTCTCTCTCTCTCTCTCTCTCTCTCTCTCTCTCTCTCTCTCTCTCTCTCTCTCTCTCTCTCTCTCTCTCTCTCTCTCTCTCTCTCTCTCTCTCTCTGCTGCCCTTCCGGGGCCCACGTGACCCTAGTGGTAGTGGCTCGACAGGACAGGTGTGTGTGTGTGTTTGTTTGCATGTATGCGTGTGTGTGTTTGCATGTATGCGTGTGTGTGTGTGTGTTTGTGTGTGGTATGTGTGTGTACACTGGTGTAAATGTGTATTGCAGGGTTGGGGTGGGGCTAGTAGAGAAGAGTAGATGTATATGGACATGTACATGGGATATGTAGGTGTGCATCAGGGAGTCGTACTCAAACTAGGGAGGTGACACGGCACAGAAATCCGTGTCACAGGGGTTGACTCGCACCCGTGACCCCTCGTTGTTATTTTTGGAATAGTTCAGTCCAGTCCAGTCCGAAAGGTCATACTTGGATCGACTCGCCTTCTGTACTTCACCTCCAAGCGTGCAACGCAAGACCCGCAAAGTATGATTTTTCTGTGGGGAACGATTTTGCCATTGATCAAGTTTTTATTGGAGTGCTCAGGCATACTACGATTGTTGAGACGTCCCGAGCACGCTTGTTCAGGTTCTCTATTGTTGACGAGCCGGTCCTACAGCCCCCTACATTGTATCTAACGACGTAGGAGCTGACAATGTAAGAGGATTTCCCTGGAAATAATGATGATGGTGGTGTGACTGCTGCAGGAAAAATGCTGGCTGTTTGTGACAGTATGACTAGATGTACAATGTAGCTCTCTTGTATGGTACTTAACCCCTGCTATAAATGTGTTGTTTAGGAAGACTGGTGTATTATGCAAGTTATAAAGAAGAAATGGGGCAGATACACGACTTACAATTTTCAAAAACCAGCTTCGTGTTTTGTCTAATTTGTGTCAAAATTGTAGTATTTAGACATGACAATATCATTGGCTGTTCTTCTCTAATATGGTACATAACCCCTGCTATAAATGTGTTATTTAGGCAGACTGGACCATTGTGCAAGTCATAAAGAAGAAATGGGGCAGATACACGACTTCCATTTTTCAAAACCTGGCGACGT